GCGAGAGGTGAGAAGGCAAGGTACCTGCGGAATTGAACGAAGGACACGAACGTAAAGACACCAACGAAAGACACGAACGTAAGTAAAAAAAAAAAAAAAAAAAAAAAAACTGGTGTAATTTTCATCATTTTCAGTGTCGGCATTGTGGTCCACGTCAGTGGAATAACGTATGGCCCTTACTAACCCCCATGCTTCCTTCTTGGTCCAATCCAACTCTTACCTCAAATCTCCCTTTTGTTGTCCTTACCATGCAGATGGAGGATATGGTGTGTAAAGAGGCTCATCAGTCCCACAAATTCATAGCCCATATCTGTCTTTCCTCTTACCATCATTCCTCATGCAGCTGGAGGAGATGTGTCAAAGGAGATGACATCGCAGCTCATATCATCGCTTTCTGTTCAATTCCTTTCCCCAGCACAGGTGGAGGAGATGGCATCAAAGAGCCATCGTCTCATTTGGCCTTTTGTTTCTTCATCCCTTCATTTCCTGTTCTCCCCCTGCAGGTGGAGGAGATGGCATCAAAGAGCCATCGTCTCATTTGGCCTCTTGTTTCTTCATCCCTTCATTTCCTGTTCTCCCCCTGCAGGTGGAGGAGATGGCATCAAAGAGCCATCGTCTCATTTGGCCTCTTGTTTCTTCATCCCTTCATTTCCTGTTCTCCCCCTGCTGGTGGAGGAGATGGCATCAAAGAGCCATCGTCTCATTTGGCCTCTTGTTTCTTCATCCCTTCATTTCCTGTTCTCCCCCTGCAGGTGGAGGAGATGGCATCAAAGAGCCATCCGAACTTGGTGCGGCTGCTGGGATACTGTGTGGACATGGATATGACAACAGAGCACCACGAGCAGATCGTTATCTATGAGATCTGCGCCAATGGGGACCTCGAGAAGTATCTAACTGGCGGTGAGAGATGTCCTTAGACTAAGTGAAATCAAATCAATACTGCATTAAAAACACTGCATTTTGATAGGGCTACTCAGAGACGCGTATATTCTGCCCAGCTGTTCTTCCATTGTCCCGTTCAATCTTCTTATTTCTCTCCTGATATGTTCCTAGTCGGGTCCTTAACCTTCTTGCAGGGCCGAAAAAGGGCACGCTGACGCTGCAGCAACGCATGGATGTGCTGGTGGGGGTGGCGCGGGGGTTGGAGTACCTCCACCAGTTTGACATCGTGCATCGAGACATCAAGCCCGCCAACGTGCTGCTCGATGCCCGCATGCAGGTATGGGAGGAGGGGGAAAAGAGGGGGAGGGTGATGGAGTGTGGTCGGGAAGGAAGATGAGAATGAGTCTGCTACACCATACGAGTGGATGAGTGAGACTACCTTTTGAGGCGCCTCAAAACTCAAAACTAGTTTTGAGGCGCCTCAAAACTGGAAGATGAGAATGAGTCTGCTACAACATACAAGTGGATGAGTGAGACTAACTCATCATGCCAATGCATTTGACTCGCCTCCCATTTACTACCTGTATGGATGTAATTTCCTGTCTTTGATGTTTGTCTAGAAGCAAGTACATCAACCTGAACATCAAGTGTCAACTTGAGTGTCAAGCGGCAGCATTAAGCATCAAATCGAACCGCTTGAAATCATTTCATCCCCTTCTTTGCCCCACACTGCACCAGCCGAAGGTATCAGAGTTTGGGCTGGTGCGCATTCTAGAAGGCACCACAGTGAATCCCACCCACGTGGTCAGCAATCCGGGCTATGTGGACCCCGCTTGCTCGCACACCAACAAGGCCACACCCATGGCTGACGTGCACAGGTGGGTGTTACAATCATCGTGCATTTCTATAAGTTGAACCCACTACTCATGTCTTAGGCTAATCCCATCAAACATTTCCATCCTAACTCCATAAATAAGTCATACCCTTCTGGCAACCTCTTAACCTATCAAGGCCATAGTTTTGATTTACTTGTTTAATTCCCCCATATGTGCTCCAGCTTTGGCGTGTTGATGCTAGAGGTCATGCTGACAAGGCCTGCTGTAGTGGACGAAAAGGGCATCAACACCAGTATCAAGGATTGGGTGAGCACATTACAGTACAGTACAGTACAAAACATTACATGTGAGGTAAACACTGCTTGCGTTTTCTTATCTTGTAGCGCCCACATTTTTCTCATGAGCATCTGGTCTGCCTTTTATTGAGAATGATACACCTCCTACTCAGTACAGTCCTCCCATACTCTTCCGTACATCTTTCCGTACATCCCATCGACCCTCTACCTAGCAACCACAAACCTGCCCCAAATATTTCTCCCACCATATTTTTCTCTGCAGGCTGCCCGCCGCGTGCAAGATCGAGACATCCAAGGCCTCAAGGACCCTCATCTCGACAGCATCCCGAACGAACTGCTTTTGCAGGTCGTTGAGCTCGCGCTGCGGTGCACCGGCATGCCTCCCTCCTCTCGCCCGCACATGCGAGAAGTCGCCGTGCGATTGGACGCTCTCTCAAAGGAGTTTCTGCAGAACACGACATCGAAAGCGGATTCACGATTCGAGAGCATCGACCAGGAGGTCGCAATGCAGCAGCCCGAGCAGAGCCTGGATGATGAGTTTCTGCGCATTGATGTGATCTCCGGCGCATGTGATTGATATGTAGCATGCTCTCGCATTTTAGTGTTTCTACGGTGATTCAGCCCTTTCTTCAGCGTTTTTATTTCGTGTTTATTTCTTTCTTTCATTATCTTGCAATGAGAATGATTTCGAAATGTACGGAGCACATCTCTAACCACAATTGAAGGGAAGGGACGTGCCATGTAGTACAGGTGTTCCTGGTTAGAGTCCCTCGCTGTAAGAGTCCCTTTTCCCCCTTGTGTAGAGTTTTCCGATATCGCCTAGGTTTGGCCCGACCCCTATAGTCCCTTTTTTGGCGGGAAATTTTGCAGCTTGACCGAATCATTGCATGAATCAGCTCCGCAGCCAATCAGAGGCTCCAGATCAAACCAGCCCCAACATTCAGGGAAAACGAGAAATAAGGGATCATCGATTAGAAATTTAACTTCGGAATTGTAAGTTATTACTTCTCTTGAGCGTGATTAATTCTCAATCATGTCGCGCGGTCTCCAGCGCGCTCGACGACGACATCTCATTTACCTCGCTTACAAGGTAAACGAGATTTTTTTACCTTCTATTCTACCCCCAAACCATAATTAATTTTGTTTTGTTTTGCCCGTTTGTCATGCGACATTGATCAGCGCGGGGAACCGAATCTACGTAAAAGACAAAATCCAGATACTAGTAGCAAACAAACGACTCATCATGCAATTTTCCTGAACGGGACTATAAGAATCGCATTTTGCCTGGGGTTTGAAGGTTTTCGCACATAGTCCGCGCGCGGCGTCTCAGTCCGTCGGACTATAAACGAGAACATCTGTAGTTGGATGATGCCAAACAAACTGCCCAGGGACCCCTACATTGGGAAATACTGTGTTTTGTCTAATGCAACAATAATATCGTGATGCAATAGTGCTTTTATCCCTCTCATTGTTGATTTTTTGTATGTTACAAGCACAAAGCTATGGTGAGCTGGTTTTTTTTATATGAGACTAGTAATCTGGCAGGAGCCAATCTCATTGGGCAGAAAGTTTAGATCTCCATTGCCTATCGTTCCGCAATAGTGCTTTTATCCCTCTCTATTACAAGCTTCTGAATTGTTTGCGACTCCGTTACATAGAACAGCCAGTTTTCGTTAAAGGCTTTCACCCTTTTGGGGAGTCCGAAGCTGAAACGTGCGCCGTACTAAACCTGAGTCTCAACCAGTCTCTTGCCTAACCAAAATCTACAGCTTCCAATAGAGACTTCCAGGTCTTTACTGACAGAAATCGTGTTATCAGTACTTCTGTACCGTTCTGGAAGCTTAGATCCACGGATAACGGAAGCAGTTTTAAAAATCACCCACGGTTAGTCTCGTGGGACGTGTCCAGAGAGTACGTCTGAATGCGGTCGAAAAAGGTTAAAATGTGTTCCAGAGCGACTGATTAACAAACCAGATGGTTGGGTAGGGTTTTCTGCGAATCCGTTCACTGTTGGACCCGCCCTAATAGCTCAGCAGAGCAGCTACCTCCACTGACCTCCACAAGAGTGCATGATTGCGAAAGCCGTGGTAGCTCAGCTGCTATTTTTTGCCTAGTAGGCTTCAATAGGGGACGGCCTGAAAGTCGAGAAGTAGCTCAGTGGCCTCCTAACTAGCAGTAAGCGCCAATGGACGAAGCTTCGCAGAGCAGAATGCCTTCTCAAAACGTGCTAGACTCTAGGAAGGGCGATGTTGGCAGCAATGTTGGCCGCAGCGCATGGCTGATGCAGCAGCAGTGTTTGAATCAGGCATCCATTGCTGGCCGCTACTACTGCCAGACCTCATTGGCGCCGCGTGTCTCGTTAATCGTGTCGCTTCTAGTCTTCTCGACTTTCCTTGGTTATTTGCCGCTTTCCGAAGCCGCCGGCGTGGTCCTGGAGCAAGAGCAAGGTCTGTGCTTGTATCGCGAGTGCTTGTATCGCGCGTGCATCCTATTCGCGCGTGCATTGAGGGAACTTGAACGTGCCACATTTTTGTGTGTGATTTTTGGAGGCCTTGTAAAATACCGTCGCATTCCTCGGGTGTCCAGGCAAGGTTTTGGCGCAGTGTGCGGTGGAAATGGGTGCGACGGGTTACAAGTGGAAACCGAGAGCTCCGTGCACGGCGGACGAAGGCCTTGTGTGTAACCCTGACGGAACAGTCAACACCATGTGAGTTGTCTAGATCGACGAATCAGCACTCTGTTCGCAGGGGAGTGAACATGGTTGCGTTGCATCTTTGTCGCAACCAAACCTCCTGTTTGAAACACATGAACCCTGGGATTAAACGGAAATGCACCCGCAAGTGACATATACTTTCTCCCTCGTTCCCCATGTAAATCCCCGTTTTTATTATGTTGTTTTGTTTACCATCCCTCTAGTTTTTGCCATGCACTTCCCGTCCTTGTTTTGCCATTTCCATGTCTGTTCTGCAATCCCCTGCATTCGCAGTGACTTGTCTGGTGCTGGTCTGAAAGGAAGCATCTGCTCCGTTATAGGCAACCTCACTACGCTCGTTTCACTGTGAGATGCCATCTCATGTTGATAAGTTACTGGGTTCTCAATTGCCGCCCCACCCAACCCGTCAATTTTTCTGTCTTTCCTTACCGCGTTTGTGTTGGTAGGGCACGCAGATCGTTCCCAGTTGACTGTGGTGGTAGGGCTACAGGTTCGCCCTGGGGAGGGGAGCAGGCATGACATGAGCACGGGCTGGGCCAGGACCGGCCTGTGGCTAGCCCGTACCAGGCCGCCCTTGTTGTTGGGTCGGCTACGGCCCAGCAAAAACCTGGCCCTCGAACCGTGCAACCATGCGAGCCGGGGTGGAGCCGGACCGGCGGGCCGGGCCGGGCCGGGCTGGGCCGGGGCTGGCCTGGATCGGTGGCGGGCGGTACTTGTGCTCCTTTCCCCGGGCCGCTATCCGCACCGCCTAGCCCACCCGGTGCGATGCTGTGGGATCGGGTCCGTGACGGTGAGGTCACAGATCCACGCAGCCCTAGAGGAGTCGGGCTGGCGGATTGCTATCATGTCGGCCTTCGGGCCCTCCACAGATGCGTACAGCGTTGTTTCCCGCTGCGCCGCAAAGCCCGACTCTGCTGCACTTCTGACGCATCCCGTCGCGCAGCGCAGGGCGTGGCGCGTCCCTGTGCGTCCTTTCCCCCTTCCACACCGCAGCACATGATTGGGGAGCCGTTTGTCCAATACTTCGGTTTTGTCTCGGTAGTCGCACGCTCCAGGCACGTCTCGAGGTAGGCCGAGCCGGAACGCCAGGGCTGAGGCGAAGTGGGCAGGTGAGTGAGAGGTGCAGTAGCTATGAGCAAAGGGGATGGCCATCAGTCAGCCAATCCCCCGCCCCCAGGCCGATCAGGGACATTGGCTGCTGTGTGCGCCCCATTAGCGAGTTTCACTTCCATCTCCCGTCTCTGCTTGAGGAGTTGACTTTTGAGTCGACTCAAAAATCATCTTTTGACAGTCGACGCAAAAATCAGCGGGTTCACTTCCATCTCCCGTCCCTGCTTGAGGAGTTCTCCGTAGTGGTTTGTGTGGACTGCCTTCGAAAGGGCATGCTGGCCCTTCGCTGCGTCTCCACCTTACTGAAGTTGGGTGAGTGTGGGGAGGGCATCAGGCGGGAGGCTTTCTTCAGCTGCGACACATCAGGTGGGAGGCTTTCTTCAGCTGCGACGCATCAGGCGGGAGGCTATCTTCAGCTGCGACGAGTCGAGCAGGAAGGGGTGTCGGGGCCACCAGTCTGCTTTTGAGTCGACTCAAAAGCGAGTCCAGCAGGAAGGGGTGTCGGGGCCACCAGTCCGGGTGGGGATGGCTTGAATAGCGGCAGCAGGGCCGCGAGGTGGGGGTATTGCCGCACCTCCGGGGGGTGGAGGGCATTGTTGAGCTGGGTGGGTGGGGGGAAGGCTGCAGCACACGCCACGTGAAAGAAGAGTGTTTTTGAGACGTCTCAGAAATACTCTTCTTTCACCTAGCACGGCCGCGAGGTGGGGGTATCACCGCACCTCCCGGGTCGGAGGACATCGTTGAGCTGGGTGGGTGGGGGGAGGGCTGCAGCGCACGCCACGTGAAAGAAGAGTGTTTTTGAGACGTCTCAGAAATAATCTTCTTTCACGTAGCACGGCTGCGAGGTGGGGGTATCGCCGCACCTCCCGGGGCGGAGGACATCGTTGAGCTGGGTGGGTGGGGGGAGGGCTGCAGCGCACGCCACGTGAAAGAAGAGCGTTTTTGAGAAGTCTCAGAAATAATCTTCTTTCACGTAGCACGGCCCCGAGGTGGGGGTATCGCCGCACCTCCCGGGGCGGAGGAGGGCATCGTTTAGCTGGGTGGGTGGGGGGAAGGCTGCAGCGCATGCTGCGGACGCCAGGTAGGCAGGCAAATCTGGATTCCGCTGATGCAGGTGATGCGGGAGATGCGGGAGATGCGGGAGATGCGGGAGATGCGGGAGATGCGGGTGATGCGGGAGATGCAGGTGATGCGGGAGATGCAGGTGATGCGGGAGATGCAGGTGATGCGGGAGATGCAGGTGATGCGGGAGATGCAGGTGATGCGGGAGATGCAGGTGATGCGGGAGATGCAGGTGATGCGGGAGATGCAGGTGATGCGGGAGATGCAGGTGATGCGGGAGATGCAGGTGATGCGGGAGATGCAGGTGATGCGGGAGATGCAGGTGATGCGGGAGATGCAGGTGATGCGGGAGATGCAGGTGATGCGGGAGATGCAGGTGATGCGGGAGATGCAGGTGATGCGGGAGATGCAGGTGATGCGGGAGATGCAGGTGATGCGGGAGATGCAGGTGATGCGGGAGATGCAGGTGATGCGGGAGATGCAGGTGATGCGGGAGATGCAGGTGATGCGGGAGATGCAGGTGATGCGGGAGATGCAGGTGATGCGGGAGATGCAGGTGATGCGGGAGATGCAGGTGATGCGGGAGATGCAGGTGATGCGGGAGATGCAGGTGATGCGGGAGATGCAGGTGATGCGGGAGATGCAGGTGATGCGGGAGATGCAGGTGATGCGGGAGATGCAGGTGATGCGGGAGATGCAGGTGATGCGGGAGATGCAGGTGATGCGGGAGATGCAGGTGATGCGGGAGATGCAGGTGATGCGGGAGATGCAGGTGATGCGGGAGATGCAGGTGATGCGGGAGATGCAGGTGATGCGGGAGATGCAGGTGATGCGGGAGATGCAGGTGATGCGGGAGATGCAGGTGATGCGGGAGATGCAGGTGATGCGGGAGATGCAGGTGATGCGGGAGATGCAGGTGATGCGGGAGATGCAGGTGATGCGGGAGATGCAGGTGATGCGGGAGATGCAGGTGATGCGGGAGATGCAGGTGATGCGGGAGATGCAAATGATGCGGGAGATTGCGGAGCTTCCCCAGCATTGGCGGGAGGAGTGCTTGAAGCCCCCCCAGGTCCGGCGTTCTTGCTCATGGCGGTGCTGGGGGATGGGCACTGAGGCCCTGCACTCCCTCCCTCCTCTGCCCAGATCTGGCCAGGAGGGTCCTGACCCAGGAGTCACAGGTCAAGACCTGATCAGCTAGTATTGAGAATGATCATGTGCCAACCAAGCAAGCACACGCACTCACAGCTCTACGCTACATAGCTGACATGTGGAATGCCACATTGCTGACATGTGGAATGCCACATAGCTGACATGTGGAATGTCCCATAGCTGACATGTGGAATGCCACATAGCTGACATGTGGAATGCCACATAGCTGACATGTGGAATGCCACATATCTGACATGTGGCACATAGCTGCCACATAGCTGACACGTGGAATGTCACAATGCCACGCATCGTCCCCTTTCCCTCCCATCATACAGGGGCCCACTCGCGCCCCTGAGCAGCTGAGCTCCCTCCCCTGCTTAGCAACTGACCCAAGATGCACAGCTCAGCTCAGGGCCGCACCGCACAGGTGCCACCCGCACATACACAGACAATTCTTCGCCATCTAAGACCCCTGCACCGTCTCCCCTTGCCACTCTCCCCCAGGCCCTATGACCAGCAATCTGAGCTGCAACTCGTGGTATCGGCAGGCTTCATCAATGCAAGAATTGGGTGGTTCCCCTCCTGTCCCTCCCTTTGCTACTCACTCCCCTAAACCCCCCCCCTCCCTCACACCCCTTTGACCCTCCCTCCGCCACCCCCCGCCCTGCCACCAGCGATCTGAGCTACAATTCACTGTCAGGCCCCATCCCTGCGAGCATAGGCCAGCTTCCCCTGCTGGAGTCACTGTGAGTGATACACGAATGTGAGGTCCCACGGGTCCTCACTCATGAATTTTGAGTCGACTCAAGGGCAGGGCAGCTTCCCCTGCTGGAGTCACTGTGAGTGATACACGAATGTGAGGTCCCACGGGTCCTCACTCATGAATTTTGAGTCGACTCAAGGGCAGGGCAGCTTCCCCTGCTGGAGTCACTGTGAGTGAGAGATGGATGGGGAGGAGGAACGGGCAAGTTGATTATGTGAAAAGAGGGAAGAGTGGGAGAGGGGAGGAGGAGGTGATCGATGAAGGAAGTGTGGGATGGATTACTTTTGAAATTGATTTGGCCATACAACGTCATAGAGGAAATCATACCTTGCCAGCCTTCAACCATTGGCTTTTCAGCTGAGGCACCTTCGAAGAAGTAAAAAATCATCACTCCCTTTCCCTCTCTCCAACTCTCCCCATCTCTCACCCTCCCTTTACTGTTCCGTCCCTCCTGCTCACAGTGGCCTCTGGTACCACCTTGCCTCATGCTTGCCTCCCTTCTCCTAGAGGAGATTTTTGAGGCACCTCAAAAGAGGAGATGGACACCTTGCACGCCTTGCCTTCCACCATCGGCTTCAGAGGCACCTCAAAATAACTCATTTTCCTCCTCTACTCCTCTACCCCTCTTTTCCTCTCTCCATCTCCCCCCCTTTCTCCTGCTCGCAGCAACCTCCGGTATATCATCTTAGAGAATGCCTTACCTTTCACCATCGGCTTTTGAGGCACCTCTGAAAGAGCCCAAAAGTCATTTCTCCCCCTCTCCCCATCCCTCTCCCCATCTTCCCCTCTCTCCATCTCCCCACTCTCTCCTGCTCGCAGTGACCTCTCGTATAACATGTTATGGAGTGCCTTACCTTCCACCATTGGCTCCTTGTCCAGCCTTACAAACCTGTACGCATTCCTGCCTACTCTGTTACCAAGAGATTTCTCAACCGTCGGCTTGTTTTACAACCTTCAATTCCTGTACACATCCCTGTTCTGCCACTAAACTGTTGAGGTGACTCAAACTTATCTCTCCCTCCCTTCCTTTCCTCCCTCCACCCCTCCCTCCCTCGCTCCTGCTCCCTCTCCTCCTCCCTCTCTCCCTCCCCCCTCCCTCCCACAGCGACCTAGCATCAAACACCATAGAGGGCGCCTTGCCTTCTGCCATTGGCTCCTTATCCAACCTTAAAATCCTGTACACATTTCTTCTCTGCCACACACTTGTTTGGGTTTTGAGACCTTCAGCTAGCTAGCCTGTACGCCTTCCAACTAGCTAGCCTGTACGCGTTTTGACTAACCAGTACGCTTTTGTTACTTTGTTTCTATCCTTTTCGGCTCTGTATGCGTTTTTTTTTTTGCTCTTTCCTCCACCATGAGTCTTTCCTCCCTCTCATTGCTCCATCCAACCTCCACCTGCACACCAAACAAGTGCATTGCAAGTCGATCACACTACACCACTTCTTCCCTCACTTGTATTCTTCCTCCCTCTCATTGCAGCAAACTTTGTGCCACCAACTCAGTGAATGGAAGGCTGCCTGTGTCTAGAAAGAAATTCTTTCCAGGATTTCGGAAAATCCTCTCCCGACTATTCTTCCTCCTCTCATCGCAGTGATCTATACGCCAACCCAATCAACAAAACGGAACGATATTCCTGTCTCTGAGCGTGCTCATCAATTTCCTTTGCTTCTATTCCCTTAGACAATGACCTCTCAACAATCTCTGTTTCTTCCTTCCTCCCCTCATTGCAGCGATCTGGTTAACAACGATTTCAATGGAATAGTACCTGCGTCTCTGAGAGCACTCACGAATCTGCGTCTTCTGTTCGTCCCCTTTCCTCCATCTCATTCCCTATTTTCAGCCATTCACCGCTCATTTTCTCACTGTCTCTTTTTCTCTCCTCCTTGTCTGCTTCTTATCTTAAATCATGACTCTTAAAATATAGTATAGTATTTTACAACAAGGTTTTCCACTTTGGACCAGAGCTTTCCATGCTTTCAATTCCAACCAGTCACCTCAAGAATTTAGAGAACTCTCGATAATGCCAACCAACCACCTCAAGATCAGCTCCACTCTTGTTGTGTACTTCAACTTGTCTCAAACAATTACTTTTGATTTAAATCTTCTTCGCTTCTTTCCTACCTTTCAAATATTGATCTCGGTTCCTCCTCTCTCCACCGTGCACAAAAGCCGCCATTGGGTTCTTGCTCCTTCCCATCAAATCTTAATTTCAAATCTTCTTCTTCCCACCATGCAGGCACCTAAACTGCCATTGCTTTCTTGCTCCTTCCTCTCAACTCGTGATCTCAAATTGCCACCATGCACCAAAACCGTCCTTGCTCCCTCAATCAGTGATCTGGGGAAAAACTCATTTTCTGGAAGCTTCCCCACTGTCGTCTCAAAACTAACCCGGCTCTCGTTATTGTAAGTGTCACCTATGCTAACAGCTGTGAAGTCTGGACTCCTGCCTGACTTGTTGTGACTGATGTGTGACTGACTTGTTTCTGACGTGTGTGTGACTGTCTTGTTTCTCACGTGTGTGTGACTGACTTGTTTCTCACGTGTGTGTGACTGATTTGTTTCTGACGTGTGTGTGACTGACTTGTTTCTCGCGTGTGTGTGACTGACTTGTTTCTCACGTGTGTGTGACTGACTTGTTTCTCACGTGTGTGTGACTGACTTGTTTCTCACGTGTGTGTGACTGACTTGTTTCTCACGTGTGTGTGACTGACTTGTTTCTCACGTGTGTGTGACTGACTTGTTTCTCACGTGTGTGTGACTGACTTGTCTCTCACGTGTGTGTGACTGACTTGTTTCTCACGTGTGTGTGACTGACTTGTTTCTCACGTGTGTGACTGACTTATTTCTCACGTGTGTGTGACTGACTTGTTTCTCACGTGTGTGTGACTGACTTGTTTCTCACGTGTGTGTGACTGACTTGTTTCTCACGTGTGTGTGACTGACTTGTTTCTACAATGTGCCTGACTGACATGACGTGTTACTGATGGGCCACTGGCTTGTGACTGGCTTGCTGTGCCTGACGCGTGCCTTGCAGGTCACTCATTTCCAACAAGTTTGGAGGAGTCATTTCCTCGTCCATCTCTCTCCTCTCGGATCTCAAAGCAATGTGTGTCTCTCACTCTTTCAAGGCGCCACAGCAATACAATGACGAGTTTGAAGGAGAATTTTGAGTGAACAGAAAAATCACAATAGTACAACGAGTTTGATGGAATTTTTTTTAGTCGACTAGAGAATCACAACAATGCAACGAGTTTGAAGAAGATGTTTTGCTGTCTATCTCTCGCCTCTCAAGGCCGTGACTCTTTCATACAAAAGTATGACGAATGTGGAGTTGTTACCTCAACCATCTCTCGCCTCTCAAGGCCGTGACTCTCATTCTTTCATCCACTCTTTCAGTTCCCACAGAGGCACCACAAAAGTATGACGAATGTGGAGTTGTTACCTCAACCATCTCTCGCCCTTGCAAGGCCATGTGTCTCACTATCTTGCTGAGGCACCTCAACAACTCAGAGAGATTGAAGTAGTCGGTTCCTCATCCATCTCTCGCCCTAGAATCTGGAAATGGTTTATTTCTCACTCTCTCTTTTGAGGCACCTCACAATCCGCATGCTTCTCCTGCGCTGACCCCTGTTGACGTGCGTTGACGGTTGACCTATGTAGACGTGCGTTGACCTATGTTGATGTGCGTTGACCAACGCTGACCAGCATTGACCTATGTTGACCGCCATTGACTTTTGTTGGCCAGCATTGATTTATTATGTTGACCGGCATTGACCTACGTTGACCATAATTGACCTTTGTTAACCAGGCTCGGCCTGTGTTGACCAGTGATGTGCAGCAAGTATGTCCTAGAGGGTAGATTCTCATCTTTGATTTTAGAGGTTATGGGTTCAATTCATAGGAACTGCACTTTCCCTTCTCATCATGTTATACATTACAGATCCACACTCCACCACTACACTGTGGTGGAGTGTGGTCACAGTTAACATTGCCACCTGTCCACTCATCCCACACTCACCTTGCTGGCCTCTATAGTGTGCCATATGCTGTCATGTGGGCTGTTGTTCCAGCCTGGCCCACATGTGCAACATGTGGCCTCACTTGCTAGCTTGGCAAGGTTGGCTAGCCTTGCCCTCAGCATTGAGGTGCTGCAGCTAGCCTCAAGAGTTCAGCCACATAAATGTGGCTTCCCACTTCACTATGGATCATCCTTGGACAAGGACCTTGCTCTAGTCTTTAAGACTTGTACTATTTTCTTGCTAATGATATTTCTTCTTCCCATCGTGCCCTAAGTTCACCGATCCATTTTTCTTCAACCAGCATTGACCTATGTTTACCACCATTCAGCATTGGCCTCTGCTGACGTGCGTTGACCTCTGCAGACACCCGTTGACCACTGCTGATGTGCGTTGATCTCTGCTGACGTGCGTTGACCTCTGTCAACTCAGTCCCGTGCTCCTTTGGCACGGTGATTTGTGCCGCAACAGCTTTGGGACATTTCAGAACCAGAACTTGTTTTTGCGTTCTGACAACTTGACTTATTCGTGCTCTTTTGGAACAGTGATGTGAGCAGCAACAGCTTTAAGGGAGAGATCCTCCCACCAATAGCAGCCCTCAGCAACTTAATCTTCATGTAAGCATGTCCCTTAACATTGCCGACCAACAAGGTTCCCATGTAAGAAGGTCTCTTTAATTTCCATGTTCGTGCAGCACGATTTCTGACAGAAATACACATGCATATATACGCACGCATATACATGTATATAATACTAACATGTACATACAGGTGAAGTGACCTCGCATACAGGACTTTTTATAAGGCACCTAGAAAACCAGTTTACAGCCAGGGGTGCATCTCTGCGAGCTCGTGCGCTTTGCTCTCTCAGGTGCTTTCTCGCTCTTCTCTCTTTTCTATCTCTTCTGTCCCTTCTCACTTTTCTCACTCTTCTGTCTCTTCTCGCCTTTCTAAACCCCTCATCTCTCTCTCTCATCTCAACCCCTCCCTGCAGCAACCTCGCGGACAATGAGTTCTCTGGTTCCATTCCATCAGATTTTGGCAGACTCACTGACTTGGAGACCCTGTAAGAAGCTTCATTCCCCACCCACGTAAGGAACACCATTCCCCAAGCAAGCAAGACAGTTCCCCAAGCAAGCAACATTGTTCCCCAAGCACGCAACACTGATCCCCAAGCAAATGCATGCAAAGCAAGCTACAGCCGCTGCATAGCCACTGCCATCCACACGCAAGAATCACTAGTCTCCTCATGTTTTGAGTCGACTCAAAACACGCCTCATGTTTTTGAGTCGTCTCAAAGAATACATAACAAACTACAACCACTGCATAGCCACTGCTATCCCCATGCAAGAATCACTGCTCTCCTCATGCAAGAAATGTTATCAAGAACGACTTTTGAGTTGTTGAGACGTCTCAAAAGACGAATTTTGGGTTGTTGAGACGTCTCAAAAGTCAAGAATCACCACTCCCCTCATGCAAGAAATGTTCTCAAGAACCTGCTGCTCTCCAGTCACGAGGTTACTCTTATAAGTCTACTCAAAGGTCAACTCTGCTGCTTCCCATGCTAGAATCGTTTTCAAGAAGCCCTTCCTTAGCACTCTTGTCTGCACACCCATCCATCATGCCCCTTCATACCCCATCACACCCCTTCGTGCCCCATCACACCCCTTCATACATCATCACACCCCCTTCATACCCCATTTCATCCCTTCATACACCCATCAGACCTCTTTGTAACCCTTCATCAGAATACTTATGTACAACCAGTTCACGGGCAGCATTCCACAAACTCTCTCTTTGCTCAAGACGCTTACTCACCTGTACGTCTGCGATGCAGATTGTGATGGTGTGGTGCAGTGTCGTGTGGTGTGGTGTGGTGTGGTACGGTGTGGTCAGGTGCAATAGTGTCTTCTCAGAGTTTTTCCCAACTAGGAGACTAGCAGCTCACTCACATGCATGACAATGTGGTTGTGAATTTACAGTTTTCATCGTTTTGTTAAAGAACCTACTGTCCCCATTCCTCTCTCCCACCTTCCCTCCCACCATTCTTCCATTCCTCCCACCATCCCATCTCCTTAGTGACTTCCCCTGCAACTTCTTTTAAGCACATTTCTCTCTTGAGTTGAGAGGGCCTCTCACCATCCCTCCATTGCCTCTTCCTCCCCAGTGACCTTTCCTGCCACATCTTTTGAGGAGGCGACTTCTGAATCCACTCGCAAGTCTTTCCCACCCCTCCCACCATCCCTCCCACCATCCCTCCCACTGTCCTTCCCAACATCCCTCCCACTATACCATTTTCTTAACGAATTTGCCCGCAACCTCTTCCAAGGAACCACCTTTCTTTTGGGAGAGCTTCTCACCAAACATCCACCCCTCCCTCCCACCATCCCACCATCCGATCTCCCCAGTGACTTAGCTAACAACCTCTTTCAAGGCACCATCCCTTATTCCTTTGTCACCCTCACCGATCTCAACATGATGTATGTATGCAAAATTGGCATGTTACAATAATATAGGTGCCTCACAATTGTGTTCGAATTGGTTAGACATGCAGTAAGCTCTAGTCAAGGTTTTGATGCTATATGTGAGAAATTAGACGTTGCCTAAGTTTGTGAAGTTCCTCTTACCATGGTTTTCCTTGATTTGTTTTTTTATTTCTTTTTAGCGTTCTGAATCAAGCTGGCAGGGTGCGAGTAGTTTCTGAATGCAAGCAAGTCTTGCTCAATATTCAAGCCTTTTTTGTGCTAGAATCTCCATCATTGTTGAACCACTAGTAATTTTTTCTTTCATTCTCCAATCATGTTGCCCACTTTGCACAAACATCAATGAGAACTAGTTTACCTTCTTTCCCACATCCCATCTCCCTAGTGACTTCCCCTACCCATCTCTGAGGCACCATCCCTTGCTTGAAAGTGCCTCTTCTACCCCTCTAGTTTTAATCATACACGCGCTCACCTTCTCTCTCATCATCTCCACCAACCCTCTCACCATCCACCCCTCCCACCTAACCTGCTCACCATCCCATTTGGACATGAGCAAAAAGGCGAACCTAAACAGGGCTTCTCCTTTCCTCGAAAATGTTTGACTCTAATGTGTGTATCTCCAGGTTGAACATGTTCGGTTCGATTCGTTGGAAATTCGTTTTATGTTGAACCGACCGTGTTCAACACACGAGTTAATCATAGTTGTGTAGGGATGAGCAAAAGTCAAACACGAACATGTTTGTGTTCGCCTTGCCTCGAACAATCGTGCTTGGCAAATTGAGCATGTCTGTGTTCGGCCGAACACAAACCGGTGCAGGAGGTGTTCGCCAAAACAGGCGAACACCAAGGTCTTCGCTTTGAGCACAAACGTGTTTGGGGCGAATATATTCGTGTTCGCTTGTAGGCAGCCTTCATTATAGCCATGGTGGTTTAGGGATGGTGGATTTTAGCGTCCATAATAATTTCAATATAATTTTTGCGTCATGGAGGAGCGTGTAGTCTAGGCTCTCGGAAGGGAGTTAGGCAAAAGTCGAGCTTAAAAATGAGCTAGACTAGTGTGTCCCGTTAAACTAAACAAAGGGTCGAGGGGCTTTTTCAACAAACACATTTGTATTCGTCGGGACGGGATGTCGAACACAAAATTGTTCGTGTTCTACGTGGCTCGGCTAGCCGCCGCGAACCGAACACGAACATGTTCGCCCCGAATGCTGGGGGAAAAAAAAAAGCAAATGTGTTGGGTTCATCTCGAACATGTCAAATAGAAAGTAATGAGGCAAATGTTTATGGCCAATCTAGCAGCACCAATTACAAGCCCAAAGCCTCTATACAGTAGTGCCCCAGATCTTCAGCTTCTGCCCAGGGTTGTGCAACTACCATGACTAAATCATCATGGCAGCGTGCACCTGGATCGCGCTCAGCCGGTGCCTCTGCCACGTGACGATATTCCTGTTTTGGCTGAATACGCGCTCACTTGCCGCAGACGTGGCGGGTACAGCCAGATAATCAATTGTACCCTAAGGCCCAGCAGCTGAGTCTCCCTCCCGTGTCCGCACACTAAAGAGCACCCAACATTCTGCCTCCCCTCCCCACCCCTTGGAACCCCTCTTTATTTCATTAGTACCTGTTTCAGAAGGGGGACAAGAGCATTGACAACAAGTAACGGTTGACATGGGTGCTTCTAGTTTAGTAATGAAGATAGTACTAGGGATTACCTAGTCTTACCCGAAAAATGGAGATCGACCTTGAAATGAGCTCGATCTTATGTTTTCACAGCTTTCTAATCCATCCAGCGTGACATATCTTGCGCTAGTTTTTCCGCGAACATCAAATGCCCGCTGAACTGAGAGAAAATTCGGGAATTTCTCCATTACGTGTGCCGTGAACGCCCGAACATGTCAGGGCTGAACCCGAACATGCTCAAGCGAACACATAAGGCAAAAAAAAAAAAACAAAAACAAAAAAAAAACCATGTTCGGTTCGTCCCCGAACATGTTCAGGCGAACCGAACATGCATTCGCCCCCATGCTCATGGATAGCCCAGCTTAGCATCTTCTTAGCATCCTAAAAGGGGCCAGGGAGAGCGTCCTGCGTCTTCTTCCGAGACACCATCCCTCACTTGAGAGGACCTCTCACCATGACCTCTCCCACCATCCCATCTCCCCAGTGACCTCTCTAGCAACAACTTCCAAGGAACCATCGCTTCATTCTTCGCCACCCTCACGAAACTCAGTGTGCTGTATGTTCTGTCTGATGGCATGTTACAGCTTTCTAGGCTCCTGAAGAATTGTGTTCTAAGCAGTTGATCTCTAAGAATGAAATGTCTCTTATATGCAATCTATCTTGATTTCTGTATTGTGTAAGAAACATTTTGTTGGAAGGTAAGTGCGATAACAGTCATTCGTTCATTCATTCTCCAATCATATTGCCCCTTTTTACAGACTCTTCGGTGAGAACAAGTTCTCTGGAGGAATTCCGTCCCAGTTCGAGAGCCTCACAAACCTCACATACCTGTAAGATTCAGCGAATTTCCTCTTTTGTCTCTTCTTTCAACATTCTTGAAACGGTGTAATCGGTAACCGCACGTTCTTGCACACCGGGCTGGCTGCGTGAATCCGTGCCGCCATATTCCATACCACCACCATGCCTATAATACTGTTCTAACACAGGTTTTCTAGAATTGTTAAAACAATTGCATGACCACAGCTGCCATACCACCACCACCACGCCTACGGGACTCTTCTCACACTGCTGCTATCCTCACACTGACATCAGATCACCACCCGTCGCCCCCGTCGTTGAAGAGAGATGATAATCAAAGCGGCTTATAATCGTTTGCATTGCTGTCCCCATTCTCACACTGTTGTTATCTTCCCACCGGCATCACATCACCACCCCCCAATGGTGTCTTCCCTGCAGGGGCTTTGCCACCAGCGCTCTCCAATGTCCTTCGAATGCCCCATTGTCATGCCATCACCACCCATCCTGCCTATTGCCATCACCACCCATCCTACCTATTGCCATCCCCACCCATCCTGCCTATTGCCATCACCACCCATCCTGCCTATTGCCATCACCACCCATCATGCCTATTGCCATCACCACCCACCATGCCTATTGCCATCACCACCCACCATGCCTATTGCCATCACCACCCACCATGCCTATTGCCATCACCACCCACCATGCCTATTGCCATCACCACCCACCATGCCTATTGCCATCACCACCCACCATGCCTATTGCCATCACCACCCACCATGCCTATTGCCATCACCACCCACCATGCCTATTGCCATCACCACCCACCATGCCTATTGCCATCACCACCCACCATGCCTATTGCCATCACCACCCACCATGCCTATTGCCATCACCACCCACCATGCCTATTGCCATCACCACCCACCATGCCTATTGCCATCACCACCCACCATGCCTATTGCCATCACCACCCACCATGCCTATTGCCATCACCACCCACCATGCCTATTGCCATCACCACCCACCATGCCTATTGCCATCACCACCCACCATGCCTATTGCCATCACCACCCACCATGCCTATTGCCATCACCACCCACCATGCCTATTGCCATCACCACCCACCATGCCTATTGCCATCACCACCCATCATGCCTATTGCCATCACCACCCATCATGCCTATTGCCATCACCACCCACCATGCCTATTGCCATCACCACCCACCATGCCTATTGCCATCACCACCCACCATGCCTATTGCCATCACCACCCACCATGCCTATTGCCATCACCACCCATCATGCCTATTGCCATCACCACCCACCATGCCTATTGCCATCACCACCCATCATGCCTATTGCCATCACCACCCACCATGCCTATTGCCATCACCACCCACCATGCCTATTGCCATCACCACCCACCATGCCTATTGCCATCACCACCCACCATGCCTATTGCCATCACCACCCACCATGCCTATTGCCATCACCACCCACCATGCCTATTGCCATCACCACCCACCATGCCTATTGCCATCACCACCCACCATGCCTATTGCCATCACCACCCACCATGCCTATTGCCATCACCACCCACCATGCCTATTGCCATCACCACCCACCATGCCTATTGCCATCACCACCCACCATGCCTATTGCCATCACCACCCACCATGCCTATTGCCATCACCACCCACCATGCCTATTGCCATCACCACCCACCATGCCTATTGCCATCACCACCCATCATGCCTATTGCCATCACCACCCATCATGCCTATTGCCATCACCACCCACCATGCCTATTGCCATCACCACCCACCATGCCTATTGCCATCACCACCCACCATGCCTATTGCCATCACCACCCACCATGCCTATTGCCATCACCACCCACCATGCCTATTGCCATCACCACCCACCATGCCTATTGCCATCACCACCCATCATGCCTATTGCCATCACCACCCACCATGCCTATTGCCATCACCACCCACCATGCCTATTGCCATCACCACCCACCATGCCTATTGCCATCACCACCCACCATGCCTATTGCCATCACCACCCACCATGCCTATTGCCATCACCACCCACCATGCCTATTGCCATCACCACCCATCATGCCTATTGCCATCACCACCCACCATGCCTATTGCCATCACCACCCACCATGCCTATTGCCATCACCACCCACCATGCCTATTGCCATCACCACCCACCATGCCTATTGCCATCACCACCCACCATGCCTATTGCCATCACCACCCACCATGCCTATTGCCATCACCACCCACCATTCCTATTGCCATCACCACCCACCATGCCTATTGCCATCACCACCCACCATGCCTATTGCCATCACCACCCACCATGCCTATTGCCATCACCACCCACCATGCCTATTGCCATCACCACCCACCATGCCTATTGCCATCACCACCCACCATGCCTATTGCCATCACCACCCACCATGCCTATTGCCATCACCACCCACCATGCCTATTGCCATCACCACCCACCATGCCTATTGCCATCACCACCCACCATGCCTATTGCCATCACCACCCACCATGCCTATTGCCATCACCACCCACCATGCCTATTGCCATCACCACCCACCATGCCTATTGCCATCACCACCCACCATGCCTATTGCCATCACCACCCACCATGCCTATTGCCATCACCACCCACCATGCCTATTGCCATCACCACCCACCATGCCTATTGCCATCACCACCCACCATGCCTATTGCCATCACCACCCACCATGCCTATTGCCATCACCTGCCTCCCCCCACCTCCCTGCAGGGGCTTCGCCACCAACGCTGTCCCACCCACCCACCCGTCAACACCCGTCCCCTGCAGTGGTCACCTAGATTTTTAAATGCCCACCCACCCATCAACACCCGCCACTACTTCTTCCTCCTTACAGGAGCTTCGCCTCCAATAATCTCTCGGGCACCGTTCCACCCAACCTTGGGAGTCTCCCGCTCCTCATGGAGCTGTGAGTGTACAGGGAGGTGTGCGTATAAGGGGGGAATGTCAGTGTAAGTGGGGGTGTGTGCCGAAGGGGATAGATATTGGAGTCAACTCAAAAGCCACCAATGCTCTCACCCCCACGGTTCCATCCACCCTCGGGAAAATCCTCCTTCTCACAGTGCTATGAGTGCGAGGGGAGGTGTGAACGTGACGGGTTGTTTTAAGTTTGAGGGTGTGAGTGAAAGGTCAGGGGTGAATGCTACCTTTTCTCTCTCTTCCACACCACACCAATCCTCCCCTCTCCCCCGCCCTCCAGCGAGCTGAACGAGAGCGGCGCAGTGTGTCCCACAGGAGCCGGGCAGCCGTGCGTCATGCAGCAAACCCCCTTCAATCAAGGCTAATTTCTCCCCCTTTCCCCTGCCTCCCAGTAATCTGACTGAGAGTGGTGCAGTGTGTCCCACAGGTGCTGGTCAGCCGTGCGTGGTGCAGCAAACCCGCTCCTCGCAGTTCTGCCTCGCCTGCCCCGACTTCTGCTCCTCCTGCTCCAACAGCCCTGCCCCTTCCCCTGGCTCTCCTGCTAGCCCCCCTCCTCCTCCTCCATCCACCAGCACTCCTCCTCCTCCTCCTTCCACAGATACACCTCCCTCCACTTCCTCCTCCCCCTCCTCCTCCTCGTCCGGCCTGCCTCTGGGAGCTATCATCGGCATTGCTGCTGTGGGGGGCGTACTCGTTATTGTCCTCCTCGTTATTGGGCTGTTTCTGCTGTGGAAGCGAAGGTCCAGCCCCCAAGGTAAAGTTCTGGCCGGTAGCCTGATGGACTTGGATGTCCTGTATTTGCTCTTGTTCTTGCTTTGGATTACTTTCTGTTCGTCTTACTTCACCTCTCCAGCACCCTCCCGTCTGTAAACACTGGAAATGCGTGGATTTGTTTTGTTTTGTTTTGTTTTGTTTGTTTGTTTGTTTGTTTGTTTGTTTTTTGAATTCTCATTCGTTTCTAAAAGTCCTTTAGGAATTTTTCCAGAATAATAATAATAATAATAATAATAATAATAAAACCGTAAACGAATTGTCCCTTCTCTTCTGTTGTGTCGTGTCTGTCATATGCTGCTGTGCTACATCCACCCTATGTTCCATCCATTCCATTCCCACACTCCTCCAGCCCACACTCCCCTATGTTGTGTTACAGGCCCATGAAGCTCAAGTGAGCAACGGGCTGATAGAAGGCATTTTTTAGACTTCTTAAAACCCTTGTCATGCCATCCCATCCCATCCCATCCCATCCCATCCCATCTCATCCCATCCCACAATCCACCAGGCCAGGAGCAACCCAAGGACGCACAAGCAAGCGACGGGGCAACAGAAGCCGGCGAGGTGTCGGCCATGCCGAACCAGGCGCACATGTGCCAGCGCTACTCCTTTGCCACTGTGGCCAAGGCGACTGACAACTGGGCAGAAGGAAACCGTATTGGGTCGGGCGGGTATGGCGAGGTGTATCGGGGGGTGTCTCCTGTGGACCCTTCGGTGGTGTGGGCTGTGAAGCGCGCCAAGATACTCACCAATGACTTCAAGCGAGGTGTGTGTGTGTGTGTGTGTGTGTGTGTGTGTGTGTGTGTGTGTGTGTGTGTGTGTGTGTGTGTGTGTGTGTGTGTGTGTGTGTGTGTGTGTGTGTGTGTGTGTGTGTGTGTGTGTGTGTGTGTGTGTGTGTGTGTGTGTGTGTGTGTGTGTGTGTGTGTGTGTGTGTGTGTGTGTGTGTGTGTGTGTGTGTGTGTGTGTGTGTGTGTGTGTGTGTGTGTGTGTGTGTGTGTGTGTGTGTGTGTGTGTGTGTGTGTGTGTGTGTGTGTGTGTGTGTGTGTGTGTGTGTGTGTGTGTGTGTGTGTGTGTGTGTGTGTGTGTGTGTGTGTGTGTGTGTGTGTGTGTGTGTGTGTGTGTGTGTGTGTGTGTGTGTGTGTGTGTGTGTGTGTGTGTGTGTGTGTGTGTGTGTGGGCGCGCGCGCGTGCGTGCGTGCGTGCGTGCGTGCGTGCGTGCGTGCGTGCGTGCGTTCGTGCGTGCGTGCGTGCATGCGTCCGTGCGTGCGTGCGTCGGTGCGTGCATGCGTCGGTGCGTGCATGCGTCCGTGCGTGTGTCGGTGCGTGCGTGCGTGCGTGCGTGCGTGTGTGTGGTGGGGTGTGGTGTGGGGTATGAAGCTGTTGACTGCGCTGTTGTAGGATGGGATGGGTGTACTGGGAAAGCTGCCCTGTGGACCCGTCGGTGGTGTGGGCTGTGAAGCGCGGCAAGATACTCACGAATGACTTCAAGTGAGAGGTGTATGTGGGATTTGTGAAAGGGCAAGATAAACACATAAGTGTAAGGAAGTGAAAAGGAACAGTCGTACTAATTGTAATGATAATATTGATGGTAGTGTTTGAACTAGTAGATATAGTAACAATAATCATTATTATACAACGAGATTATGCCCCTTATTTCCCCCCACAATTTCCTTCCCAACTCTTTCCACAATTTTCCACTTCCTTCCATTCCCATGCCATCAAAGATGCCATCAAAGAGCCATCAGCTCATTTGACCTTTTTTTTCCTCTTCCCTTCCTTTCCCCATCTTGAGCAGGTGGAGGAGATGGCATCAAAGAGCCATCCGCACTTGGTGCAGTTGCTGGGGTACTGTGTGGACATCGATATGATGACAGAGCACCACGAGCAGATCGTCATTTATGAGTTCTGCTCCAAAGGGGACCTCGAGAAGTACCTCACTGGAGGTGAGAGGGGTCACTGGAGGTGAGAGGGGTCTTTCAATGGCGATGAGAGAAGTGCTTAGGGTTGGGTGAAAAGGAGAAACAATGCTATGCTGAAACATTATGCTATGCTATGCTAGTTAGGGCTACTCACATGCTCTTTTCTTCTGCTCCAATTTCCAGGTATCCTGTTCAAACTCCTTTTTTCAATCGTAATATGTGTCCTCATATGATCCTTCTATAATTTCCCTTAACTCGGTGCAGGTTGGGATTCATCCTAACATCCTTTACCGCAGGACCCAAAAAGGGCAACGTTTATGCTGTAGCTACGAGTTGACTTTTAATTCGACTCAAAAGTCACCAGACCACTTCACCCCATCATCTTCCCATGTAGGGCCCAAAAAGGGCGAGCTGACGCTGCAGCAGCGCATGGATGTGCTGGTGGGGGTGGCCCGGGGGTTGGAGTACCTCCACCAGTTTGACATCGTGCATCGAGACATCAAGCCCGCCAACGTGCTGCTCGATGCGCGCATGCAGGTACGGGAGGAGGATGAGAATGATTCGTAAGGATGAATCTGTTGAACGAACTACTGGATGGAAGTGACTTTTGAAAACTCTCAAAACTGTCTCCGATGTATCTGAAAAAGGTGTATATGGATGAGCAAGTGGGTGAGTCCATGGAACGAACAAGTGGATGGGCGTATATCAAGCATGCTAGTGTTTCATCTCGCCCGCAGCCTGCCCCATTTACTACCCAATGTTTTTATCTCGCCGGTATGGGTGTCAATCTCTTTGGGAATCAAGTCTGTCAACCTATTGGGAAAGTTTGGGGTATTTTGGCAGCTTGTGAGCATCCTCATAATCACCCAAGGTCCTAGCAGGTCAAATTTCAGGATGTAAATCACCTAAGGGCCATTTCTAAGGTTTAAAATACCCATGGTCAATTTCCAAGGTCAATTACCCAGGCCCAATTTCCATTGTATGGTAATGTTTGTTGTCAATTGGGAGTCTTGCTTTTGAGACAAAAAAAATAGTTGAGAAACACTGGGACTTGAACCATATACCTTTTGCTCTGATACCACTTGATGGCCCACCCTGCTACTGACTGCATTAGAAATGCTGTTTGGTCGGTAGCACAACATTTACCCTCCAGGACGCACATGTAACCCTATGTTGGATTATACACTTAGGAGCCTTAGCGTTTAGTGTTGGTATGCTGGCGTGTACACGCAACATGCAAAACGCTAGTGAAAACGCTATACGTGGCCCTATTTTTTTGGGGGCAGCCTGGCCGACCCAAACATTTTCGAATAGCTCAAACGATGCTGAATTGCATGACGAGCGATTCTGCGTGGTCAGATTGCACGTCCGCAGTCTGTGCTGGCGGGAAAGTGGCTTTATCTCCTGTAGGGTTTGCCTAGTCTATTCAACTAGGTAAGAAATCGAGCGCGGTAGCTTCTGTCGAGATGTGGGGGGGATGGATTGAGAGGAGTAGTTGTGAGTTGCGTCTAGCTGTTTCGCGAAAACAACTCGCAAACATTTTGACTCGATCGCAGGTGATTCGCCAACAAGGCACGACAAATTTCACTCGCTCGCCAAATTCGCGACCGGTGGAAATTGTGGTGGTTGGGTAAAAATGTGTTCTCAGATCTAAACCCAACCATTCCTCACAATTTCTCTGTTAGGGTTACGGGACAAGATTCCCGCATGGTCGACGAGTAGGAAAAACTCCCCCGAGTAGCCAAAAATGCTCGTCAGTAAGGCCGACTACTCGACGAGCACAAATAAGTCGCCAAGTATTACTCGCCTAGACTCGGCCGAGTATTTTTTGCCAAATCCCGTACTCGTTACTCGGCCCTGGAAGAGTAACTTGGATGAGTCGAGGTGAGGAACTCGTTTCGACGACCATGTCTATTTGCACCTTCACATTTTGCATGTTCACAAATGGATGGCCATGGAAATTTTATCATGGGGAATTTGTTTTTGGAGAAACACATCCCACAAGAAACTCCAGTTGACTCACCCCCGGAGGTGTTTTTGTTTTCCTGCCCGGGAAACTTTTTTTCCTGCCCAAAAAAGCGTATCCTCGATCAGACCCCTCCAGCGTATCGCGTGCAAACGCTAGCGTATATATGACACGCGTATATAGGCTAGACGTGTTTAATCCAGCATAGCTGTAACCGTCTCGCACTCAAATGGGAAACGATCCTAATGCCCCACCAGAAATCTCATTTCACTGGGGTCGCCTTCTTCTCACTTGGGGCTCGTTACAGCATTGGCGCTCACTTGGCGCACACTGGGACTCGAACCCGAGACTTCTGGCTCTGATACCACTTGTTGGAGTAGCTTGCTACTTGATGAGTTCTAAAACAAAAACATGTTGATTTGGTGGGGAACACACCCACTACCCTCCAGGACACACCTTCAGCCCCCTTAAATTACAACTGGGGTACGATATTAGTGCCCCACCAACACTGCTAGCAAGGGAGTGTTGCTTGGCCAGGCTGTGCATGATTCCACCATCTCCCCTTTCATTGCTTCCATCAACAATCTCCCATCCCTCTATCCACCCACCCCGCACACCCCAAGGTATCAGAGCGCATGACAGCAAACTTCGTGTTTTTCTTCTCTCCTCCATATGCCACCCCCACCAGTCAAAGGTATCATATATCGGGCTGGAGCACATGACAGCAAACTTTGTGTGTTTCATCTCACATCCCTTCATCTCCAGGCAAAGGTATCAGATTTCGGGTTGGTGCGCATGACAGAGGGCACCACAGTGAATCCCACCCGAGTGGTCGGCACTCCAGGCTATGTGGACCCCGCTTACTCGCGCACCAACAAGGCCACGCCCATGGCTGACGTCCATAGGTAGGCTAAGGACAAGGCCACCCCTATGGCTGACGTGCACAGGTGAGTCAAGGTAGAGGGGAATCACCCCCATTGCCGATGTGCCGTGTTATCCCGTCCGGTCCTGGAGGCATTCGGCCCCACGTCCCAGGCATTTCTTACGCTAATCTTATCAAGCATTTCTCATCTTGAGTTCATCAACCACTCTTATAAGTCGCACCCTTTTGGCATTCTCCTTTGCTGACTTTTTCTTATGTTGTTGGACCCCTCAAAGCTCTAACTTTTATTAACTCTCTGAATCTCCCCATGTGTGCTCCAGCTTTGGCGTGTTGGTGCTAGAGGTCATGCTGACGCGACCTGCTGTGGCGGAAGAGAAGGGCGTCAACACCAGCATCAAGGACTGGGTGAGCACAGTACAGCACATGTGATGACAACAATGCACGCATTTTTTTTTTTAATCTTGCAGTGATTAAAACACTTCCGTACGCATCGGATGCGCCATTTCTGAGAATGGTGCACCCCTTTTGAGCATCGGATGCTGATGCATCGGCACATTAGTCGCAACCTCTTCCTTCCACACATCCCATCCACCCTTTACCTAGCAATCACAACACTGCTCCAAATCTTTCTCCCTCCATCGTTTATATTTTCCAGGCTGCCCGTTGCGTGCAAGATCAGGACGTCCAAGGCCTCAAGGACCCTCATCTTGAAAGCATTCCTAGCGAGCTGCTTTTGCAAGTCGTTGAGCTCGCGCTGCGGTGCACCGGCATGCCTGCTTCCTCACGCCCGCACATGCGAGAAGTCGCCGCACGATTGGACGCTCTCTCAAAGGAGTTTCTGCAGAACACGACACCGAAAGCGGATTCACGTCTCGAGAGCATCGACCAGGAGGTCGCAATGCGGCACCCCGAGCAGAGCTTGGATGATGAGTTTCTGCGCATTGATGTGATCTCTGGTGCATGTGATTGATACGATGTCATATTCTGTCAGAGAAATTAGAGTTATACATCAGACAAAACCACACACTTCTATGTGTTGGGCTGAGAAAAGCCCCTAGGATCTTTGCAAGGCTAAACTCTGGGTAGGAATGTTGTAGTTGTCGCTGACCTTTGACTTTCGCGTAACCTCCAGCAGTTACTTTTCTTCTCAACCTCCGATGGTTGACTCGCCGATGCTTCGTTGTGCTTCGCTTCATGTACGACTTAGTGCTTCGACACAGCAGAAGCGCTTAAATCACTTGTTTCCAACACTATGGAAGTCGACTCTTGCAGTATCTACATTGTGAACGCTTGCGATTTGCCTTGCAAACAGGGCCTCAGATTCACTTTGAGGCACGTAAGGGTATCAGGGTTCCTCTGCCCCTAGACCCTGATCGTCAGGGTCGTCTTGGAAAAAAGCCTGAAAGTTCAGTGTTACTTAATAAAAAAGTCTGATCTATCAGTGTCCCCCACAGAAAATGGGTGATAGCAGTAGTAATCTTTATTTTAAGTTAAAAACAATACGAAGCATGCAAACAGCCTTCAATTCAAACCAAATCCTATCTTGCTAGCAAGCAAGCTAAGCATGGAGTCTGGGAGCATTCTAATCAAAAGTCATCATCAAAAGAAGCTTGCTCGTCTGCATCGTCTCTTTCTAGTTCGTCCATCTCCTCCTCCTCTAGGACCTCCTTTCCCTTGCTACCGCTCCCCTCCCCCTCTCTTGCTGGTGGTGCCACCACATTGCCGAATGGGCGGCGCTTCTTGTAGCTGCGCCAGATCTGCACCACCTCATTGTAGTTGGGCTCATACTCCAGCAGGGACATCGTGATGAGGTCTTCGAGGCGGGCGTCCTTCAAGCTCCCCCGCTGCCACGATTTGATCACGTTCTGGCGTGAGAAGCCACGCTCACACTCCACAGTGCTGAGCGGCAGCACGGCGACAGCCACCCAGAGACGCACCAGATTGGGGTAGCTTGCCGCCCAGTCGCTTGTCTTCAACACTGCTGTGAGGCCGGCGAGGAAGCTGCGCTCGTTCTTTGGGGCACCAGCGAGGATGGGGCAGAAGGCACGCAGCTCCTTGATCGCACGCCGCTTGTCGACCCCTGCCACATCAGGCAGAAGGGAAAAAGAGGGGAGTTAGACAGGCTGGTATACGTCTAAAACGCACAGTTGTAACATACGGTCAGGCACAAAGCGAGAGCGGGAATACCTGGAATGATG